AAGTTCAGAGTGGGCTGCAGAACATTTGGGGAAAGAATTGTCAAGAAGTGCCACAGACTTCCACTCAATTTTCTTGCAAGAGAATTGTAAGGAAGATGAGAATCACCGTCTAGCACTCTGGAGTTTACACAGATATTTTATAGACATTATCTCATTTCATGATCTTAACAACCCTGCAGAACGGGCGAGGAAATCACTATTATCTCCGTTTGATTGCTGAGAAAGTTGGGGCCCAGAGAAGAGAAGTGACTTTCTCAAGATCACATGGCAGTAGACGCTAGGACCCACGCCTCCTGGTCAAGCATGCATTCTACCACATACAATTAGGGTCAGGCCCACTGTGTCTGCCCTCTGCCTCCGAGCCGTCCTCTGTGCTCTACAGGCCACCTCCACTCTCTTGTCTGTCCTCTCCAGCCATTCCTTCCTGGCAGGCAAACTTACTCAGCAACTGGGCCAATCTTCCCCAAATGTTCTGCAGCCCACTCTGAACTTCATCCAGGGCGATGGTCCTGGACTTACTTTCCCATTCCCTGACCTCATTCCCAACTTTCTCGAGTAGCTGCTTGACACCCTCGTATGCTTGGAAACCTTCTACGATGGTTCTGAAGGAGGGGAACCTCACAGGTCCTCTGGCTCTCTGCTTTCACTCATCCCATGGGACTCTTTTTTTTTTTATTTTTTTTTTCAACGTTTATTTATTTTTGGGACAGAGAGAGACAGAGCATGAACGGGGGAGGGGCAGAGAGAGAGGGAGACACAGAATCGGAAACAGGCTCCAGGCTCTGAGCCATCAGCCCAGAGCCTGACGTGGGGCTCGAACTCACGGACCGCGAGATCGTGACCTGGCTGAAGTCAGACGCTCAACCGACTGCACCACCCAGGCGCCCCCCCCCATGGGACTCTTGAATGTCACCGCAACTGGGAAGTTCCCCTTCCCTGACTTCCCAAACTGCATTAGGTCCCCCTAGCATGCTACTCTTTTCCTTCATAGCTGTTACCACAACTTCTGGTAATCATTTGTTCATTTCCTCCACTAGTGATAACAACAACTGAGTACTTCTTGTGCTAAGTGTCTATATTCTTGCCCTTAATTCTCATAGTCCCGTAGGGTGCAAGCACACATAATTAATCAGATAGGGAACACACTTCTTACCTACTAGTATATTCTTAACTCCTAACATAGTGCCTGGTACAGGGACATAGGGGGTGTTAAATCTCTATTCGTTAAATGAATAAATTAACTCCCTTTGGCACCATATCATCGAAATTCACTGCTCTGAAGACACCCCTTCCCCCCAAATTCTCTAGTCATGTTGATCGACTTTGGCGGGGAAAGCCCATGTTAAAATCTGCTCTTTGTCTACTCATTCAACATATATCTGTTGAGTCCCTCCTGGGTGCCAGATACTTTCTAGGCATGAGGGCCTATCCCCAGGTGAGAGCTCCATGTAAGGAAAGGTGAAGGTGGGGGCATAGTTCTACTTTGGGTCTCCTGGGAGGCCCGGAGGATGTGGGAGTCCAAGATGAGATTCAGATTGTGCTCCAACCCACCGGGGTGCTCCTGCTTCAGGTCAGATAGAACTGAGATAATGCAGTCAGCCCCAGTCCTAGGCCCACCTCAGCCCCACTGATGTTACCTTGGTGTCGGATTTGTGCAGAGAAAGGAGGCAACATGCCAACAGACCAGATCCTGGTGGGCTTACCTCTTTCTCCCTCCAGCCCCCATTGCTTTCCTGAGTCACTGTGCACAGCAACTATTTCAAAGTGGAAGTTACGGCTGCCCCCGCCCCCCCCATGGCTTGATGTCAGATTGTCCAGTTCAGATGATGGAAACATCTGTCTGCCGTCCTTTCGTCTCCCGATCATTTCATTAGGCTTTTCTTTAGGATACGTTCCCTTTAAGCATCCTAACTGTTCACAGTGTGCTGAGAGAAATAATTTTTTCCAGGAGTCAGTGGGAGTGGGGACCGGACGGGGGTCAGTGTGTCCTCAGTGGCCTGCTGCGATGGTGACCAGCAGACCATCTTGCCCACAAGTGGGCAGAGGCAAGAAAGCGTCCCCTGGGAGGGGGCGTGTGGGCCCATCATGCCTTTATGCTCCTCTGCAAGGTGGCCCCCAGCCTGTAAGTTTGAATGAAGAGTCCTGGCCTTTTTGAAAGCAGGATGTCAGCACTGATTATTAAAAATTGTTCTGGGTGCCTGCCTGTGATGTGGATGTTGAGATTTTCTTTGATTTTCCCTTCTTCTCCCCTCAGAGAGATCTCTCTCTCTCTCTCTTACTTTGCTGGATGTATGTGGCGAAAGACATCTGTGACAATTCTTCACTCCCCTTCTAGATTTGCCATTAGTCTAACTCATGAAAGAGAGCTCAACATATGACCTCAACACCTCTTCTCCTAACAGCCCGGGGCATATCTGGACAAAAGTTCTAGAAAGGCTAGGCAGTGCTTTCTTGTCACTGTGGCCTGTCCTTGGCCTCTAGAAGACTCTTCAACAAAGCAACACCCAAACTCAGCCAGATCCTAAACCTGACCTCCAGCCCAGTTCCAACAATAGAATATCCAGGCAGCTTACAGAACCATGGGTCGTGCTTAGGACAGGCAATGCTTCCTTCAGTGGCTGAGCCACAACAAACCACCCAGGGCCTCGGTCTCGTCATGTGAAAATGAGGAACATCTCTCTCTAAATTTGGGGGTGCATTGAGTCACATGGTCCAGCTGGGATCTTAGCATTATAACGTGTTAGCTGCGTGCCTGAGGGTGAATTATTCATTTTCTGGGAGGATACCTTTCCTTATGGGTACAAATACAGATAATAAATACAGAGTCACTCTGAGGAGTAGAATAGTATTGTAGGCTCTTAACACAAGGTTAAATTAATCCTTATTACCTATCACTGGATGGTCCTTCTGCGCCCCCCTGGCCCCACCTCTGGGATCTAACTTGACATAGGACTGTTTCCAGGCACATATTTAGTGAACTGAAAGAAAATAGAGTTCTGATAATCTTTCTGAAACACTAACAGTGAATTCACAATATGTTGTATCCTTTTGATGCTGACTTTTATATATGACTCTGTGCTTGGAACAATGTACTATATGTATATATATTTGGCATTTAAAATGCATTTGCTGAATCAATAAATGGTTTAACAAAGATAGGTAGAGAAATTGGGGTGAAGTTATTATAGATGAATGAATCAAACAAAAACATGATGTTATTTTCTCTGCCCCCAAATTTGTTCATGTCCATGGAGTAGCCACAGACCAGAAACCTGGTACCTTCCTGTGTCTTCCCACTCAACTCCCGTAGTCAATTGATCAACACATCTGGTTCATTCTGCTTCCTAATTACCTCTTACCATTGTCCTTTCCACTCGAAACCCTTGACCGCATCCCAGATCAGGCCAAGGCATCTCTTGCCATCTGCCATGGTCTCCCCGTTAGACTGCATACGTCACCCTTCAAAACTCACCTCCCACTACCTTGCTTAGAACCATTCAGTGGCTCCCCATTCTCTCTATAAAGTGGCCTCCAAACTTAGCTAATTATGAGAATCATTAGAGAGGAACTTTAAGGATCTCAAATCTCTGATGGTGGGTCCTGGGATCTGTGTGCCTTACGTGTTGCCTGGGAGACTTTGATGGTCAGCCAGATTTGGGGATCACAGGTTCTCAGGCTAAAAACCCATCTCTTCTGCATGGTATGGAAAACCCTCCATGGTCTATCTCCCCTTCCTCTCCAGTATCACTCCATGCCTCTTTGCCCATTGAATGTTTATTAAAGTTCAGTTACTTATTTTGAGAGACAGCGTGTGTGTGTGTGTGTGTGTGTGCGCGCGCGCGCACGCATGAGCAGGGGAGAGGCAGAGAAAGAGGGAGAGAGAATCCCAAGCAGGCTCTGCATTGTAAGCCCAGAGCCCAACACGGGTCTCAAACTCACGAACCATGAGATCATGACCTAAGCTGAAACCAAGAAGTCAAATGCTTGGGGCGCCTGGGTGGCTCCATTGGTTGAGTGTCCGACTTCAGCTTAGGTCATGATCTTATGGTCCGTGAGTTTGAGCCCCGCATCGGGCTCTGTGCTGACAGCTCAGAGACTGGACCCTGCTTCAGATTCTGTGTCTCCCTCTCTCTCTGACCCTCCCCCATTCATGCTCTGTCTCTGTCTCAAAAATAAATAAACATTAAAAAAAATTTTTTTTAAAAAGAAGTCAGATGCTTAACCAACGGAGCCACCCAGGCGCCCCCGCCCCTTGAATTTTATGCTCCAGCAGTGCTGAAGGCTGATGGTTTTCACACGCAGTGTTAGGTCCAGCTCTGAATATACTACCCACCCTCCCACAATGCCCTTCCCTGCCTGGCCCCCTGATGAATTCCTGTTTATTCTCCCAGTTCTGTCTCAGCTACCAGGGGGGTTAGGCAGCATGTTCCATTTATAAAAAGTTCAAATGGGCCAAACTAATCTATGCTTTAGGAGCCAGGAGACTGGCTACCCCTTGGGGCCAGGGAGAGAGAGAGGAGTGGACGTGAGCGGGCCTTCCGGGGTGCTGGTCGTGTTTCTTGATCTGAGTGCTGGTTCCACGGTTCATTCCAATTTGTAAAAACCCATCAAACTGTACCACCTCAGCTCACATGACACTTCCTCCAGGAAGCCTTTGTGGATACCCTCCCTTTGAACTTGTCCTGCACCCTTCCCGTGGCCACTCGGCCTGGTTCAACCTGCTGTTTTTGATGTTTGACGTCCGAACTACCGATCTTTATTGACATATCTATCTCCCCAGCTAGACTGTGAGCTACTTGAGGACAAGACCGAGTGTCCCCAGCACCTTCCCCACGCTCTCAGCCGGGGCCCAGCGAAGGGATATGGGCTAGATGAAGAAACAGATGGAGAGAAAAGGGGGGGGTGTGTTTACTCCTTTTACTTTTCTTCCTATTGAGAACACACAGCGCTTCTCTATCAATCTGCTTTTACCGAACCAGGCCAAGAAAGAGATCACTTACCTTTCTGAGTCTCACCCAGGAAAACCAGATCCTTCCGAGGAGGGGAAAAGCAGAACTTCCTCAGACTGACCCAACCTAAGCAGCCCACACCAGTGAAGAGGTGTCTGAAGCTTCCTCCTGTGCCAGAAAACAGTCACATTGGTCATCTCTCGTTGGGTTTCTTCTTGATTCTTAAGGAGAATGGCCAGTTGTTCAGGGACCGGACTGCCCAGGCACAAACAACTCCCCAAACTCTCAAAAACATTTAAGCTAGAAGAAAATGAAGCTTTTACATCTCAACCACAGCACAGGGACTCAATCCCACCCACCAAATTATAATCACGTTGCCTTAGCCCCTCACGTATTACGCCTACAAGTTTCAACCATGGTAAGAGACAGTCAAGTAGTAAAGAAGGACGGTCTCTTTATCAGGAGGACCCTGCCTAGGAGCTTCCAGCACAGAAAACGGATTATCCTGCCAAAACTCTATTAGAGTACATCGTCCATAAATACTTACTAAGCAATTGACTGGTTCCTTGATTCATTAATTCATTTATTCAGCAAATGCATGCTAGGTACTTATTCTTGCAAGGCTCAAAGGCCAGGGATGAGTCAGATAGAGTCTCTGATCTCAAGAAACTTAGAACCCAGTGGATGATTATAAAAAGCTGGCTATCACTCCAGGAAGAATGAAATGGGTGCTTAAGATAAGCGGCAGGTGCCGTGATGTTCGGAGAGAGGGGTTGCCCAGCACAGAGGAAGCACTCAGTGTTGGTACGTGAAGTCGGATGGTTCCAGTGAACAGTGAACGAAGATGAAATGCTCACCCCCCCACCCCCCAGGCACAGTCTTCAAAGCAGCCCCTCCTGGCCCACTCCACATCTGTGCCTCCCTCTGCCGGCCAGACACCCGCACCCGACGCTGTGCAGTGAACTCTGCCGTTGGTCAAGTGGGGGCCGAGAATCAGGTGTCCCTCCCCGCCCCCCAAGCATCCTCGGCTCTGCCTCTCTCCACTGAATTCGGGCCGAGCATTGATATTCCCGCACCGCCGACATATCACATCACTCTGCATAGCCAACATCTTACAGGCTCCGCTAATAACCCCCAGTGGATCTTAAGCAGGAGTCTCAGCCTGCAGGAAAATAGGTTCACATCTGAGCCCTGTCGTGACTAATCTTCTCCACCATTTATTAGATGAGGATCTTGTCAGTTCAGAAGCTCCGTGTGCTCTGCCTAGAAAATAGAAGAGAGAGAGAAAGAGAGACCAGAGGGCAAAAGATGAAGGAATGAGATATATAGCGGCGTCAAGAATTTTGTCAAGAGACACAGAAGTGCTCAGCGGTTGACAAGTTCCCTGTTGTACCAACAGAACAGCTCGAGGACTTAATACGTGAAAACCCCAGCGGGACCCTGCAATTTTTCATAATCATAACGTCTCGGACTTGTCAGTTGTGAGGTTCCCAAAGTGTTAGCCTGGTGGCAAGATGGAGCCTTTGGAAGGTGGGACCTCATCCGCCTGAGGGCCGCTCTGGCTCAGGGGCGCAGGGGAGTGGCCCAGGAGACGGCGTGAGTGGAGCACCTGTGTGGCACTGCCTGTGGCAGGGGGAGGACTGAGGTCCTGGCTCTCATATCACCGGAAACGGGGCCTGAATCGCTCCACGTGTGTGCATCTCAGTTTTCTCGTCTGCAAAATGGGAGTATTCGTACCTACTCCGACGAGATGTGCTGGGGACTTAAACACCAAGGAAATTCTCCAGAAAACAGAAACCAGGGCAAGGAGGGTTTAGATGGAGTGAATTTGCAGGCCAAAGACCACGGATGGAGAATAGGGTTAGGGCACACCTGCTTTGCTTGCTTTCTTCTCTTTTTGAGAGTTGAATGCTCCCCCCCCCTTTTTTTTTTAACGTTTATTTGTTTTTGAGACAGAGAGAGACAGAGCATGAACGGGGGAGGGTCAGAGAGAGAGGGAGACACAGAATCTGAAACAGGCTCCGGGCTCTGAGCTGTCAGCACAGAGCCCAACGTGGGGCTCGAACTCACCGACTGTGAGATCATGACCCGAGCTGAAGTCGGACGCTCAACCGACTGAGCCACCCAGGCGCCCCGAATCCTCCCGCTCTCTTAAGACTTCCAGCTCTCTAAGATGATAATTAATTCTAATGGCTACTCAACGAGCACTCGCTCTGTGCCAAACTAGCTCTGTGTTAACCTCTTTACAGACTCTTCTTTCACGTAACGCTTACAACAGTCCTATGAGATAGGAGTTTTACAGGTAGAGAAGCACGAGTCAGGGAGGGAAGTAATTTGCCCCCATTGGTCACACAGAGGCAGAGGCAGGATTTGAACCCAGAGCTAAGTCTTCCTCAGGGCTGACACTGGTTCTGAAAACAACCAACCGGGAGGAAGGCTGACTCTGAACCAGTGTGACTGTCCTAGGCCATAAAGGAGAGCACCTTAAAGGGGCCTTGCCAGAGGAGGAGTGGAGAAAAACCAAAGCTTCAAGCTAACGGGGTCCACGATGATGCCATGGTGCCACGCTCCACTGGCCGTGGGCCATAATAGTAATTATGACTCCAGCAGCCACATTTTTGGGTTTATTTATTTATTTTGATGTCTATCTATTTTTGAAAGAGGGAGGCAGAGCGTGAGCAGGGGAGGGGCAGAGAGAGAGGGATAGGGAGACACAGAATCCTAAGCAGGCTCCAGGCTCCGAGCTGTCAGCACAGAGCCTTGACGCAGGGCTCGAACTCACAGACCATGAGATCATGATCTGAGCCAAAGTCAGATGCTTAACCGACTGAGCCACCCAGGTGCCACCAACACTTTGTACTTTATTTATTTTTTATTTTTTTAAACTTATATGAATATATTAAAAAATTTTTTTTTAGTTTTTTTAAATGTGTATTTATTTTTGAGAGAGACAGAGACAGAATGTGAGTGGGTTAGGAGCAGAAAGAGAGGGAGACACAGAATCCGAAGCAGGCTCCAGGCTCTGAGCTGTCAGCACAGAGCCCAATGCCGGGCTTGAACTGACAAACTACGAGATCATGACCTGAGCTGAAGTCGGATGCTTAACCGGCTGAGCCACCCAGGCGCCCCTTCAGCAGCCACGTTTATGAAGCAGATGCTCCCTATGCTCCATACTTAACCCTCATCTTATTTAACCCGCTTGTCCTGCTATAAAACCTGCCCCACCTGGCAGATGGGGAAACAGGTCAATGGAGATGAAAACTCCACTTTCCGAGTTCAACACTGTGAAGCCATGTGACCCTTCTTGTTTTTCCCTTCACTCGAGACTTGAGTCCATGCGTTGCCTGGGAGGCCCACCCAGTGCCCGTGTTAATGACCTCGGAGGGGTGCTGGTTTCTGGGAAGTCGTCGAGGGCAGCCTGCAGAGTACTTTGAACTTGCATGTGTCATTTCAAATTGCTTTGAGATGAGCTGAATTCAGATCCCTCCGCCTCACGTGGGGATAGCAGTGTGGGGAGAGGAATGGAGGAGAAGGAAAGTGAAGCGGTTTTCTCCCCCCTTGGAGGGGGCAGGAATCCATCGTGGCTGTGTGGACACAAAGGCTCCCACAACCTGCTTTCAGGCCAAAGAAGCATCCTTCCATCACGTGGGATTCACTAGGCAGCAGGTTCCGGAGATTCCACGTGGGGTTTGTTGTGAGCACCATCCTGCGGACTCCTCCAGCCAGGCTGCCGGAGGACAGCCCTCTCTTCTCCCTGGAGAGCCCTCCATCCAGGCCACCGCACCAACTTTATTTGGTTGCTTGCTTGGGCTCGGCCCTCAGTGTAGACAAACAGGGCAGGAGCCGCTGAAATGGGGGAGGGGGACAGAAAGGAAAGGGAGGCCAAGGAAGCAAAACCAGAGGCCAAATGTAGATGTCTGGTCTGTGTGCTCAGACAGGGCCGGAGTCTGGGCCCCTGCCATGTATCTTCAAAGCCCAGGCTGGACATGATCGATCCCTGCCCCCGCCCACCATGGGCCACCAACTCCTAGTGGGAGAAAACCACTTACATTTCCTTCTCTTCCATTCTCCTCCGCCACCCACACCACCCTCCCCCGCAACTGCTGATGTCACCACACGGAGCAATTCCAGAGGGAGGAGTCTTTAATATAGTCAGAAATGGAATTGGCAGGCCTGGACCAAACCCCAGGCCCAGACAGAGCGGGATGAGAAGCTCAAGCCCAGATTCAAAGCTGGGAGGGTCCAGATGCTGAGAGCCTTTGTGTGAGGAGGTGGGGTTAGGAAGCAAGGCCAAGGCAGAGACCTTCCCCGAGAACGTCTTCCTGTGGAACGAGGGGCTGGGGTGTGTTGTGCGCCGAGGGGAAGCCAGCAGGTTCTCTCACAGCCTTCTCCTGCCCTGCGCCTCCCTCCTTAGCGGAGGTCCTCTTGAGGCCATGACCAAAGAGTCTCAGTTCCTTCCTCCTGGCACCGAAGGAGGAGCACACTCCCTTCCTCTTCATCCATTCTGCAGGACTGTCACAGAGAGGCTCCTTTTCCGGGCCCAGGCCCACTGTGGCCTCTCAGATCCTCAGAGCCTGCTTGTGAGGCCACCCTAAACTGCGACCTGCGCCGAAAGGACATCTAGGGCCCTGCTTACATGGCCACTCACTAGTCACAGTACAGTATTTTAGATCTCATGTTTCATCTGCCACCCATGCTCGATCAAACAGAGATCAAATAAGTTCTGAAGTGATGTGAAAACAAACAAACAAACACAGAGACCCAGAGCACCCATGGCTGGTTATTTTCATCAAAACAAACAATCCTTGTTTACTGCTCACAGAACACAGCCAGGTCTCAAGCAACATGGCGAAGGTACTCTTCAGCCGCCTTCCCTCCCGCACAACCTCAACACACAAACTCACCCTTGGCAGCTTTCACTCTCTGCCTTCACCCTGGCCAGTGCCCAAAACCCACGCGCTGCTCCAGCTGCCAAAATGCTCCACCCCACACGGCACCCCCACGTTCCAGATTTTTCCAAATCCCTACCCACCCCCACCAAAATTAACCCATGCTCCCCCCCTCAACACACATTCTTGCAGACAAACTGTGACGTAAGGGAAAGAATGTTAACTGAGCAACTACTACGTTCCAGCCGTTATAATAAGCACTTTACAGACATTATATCATTAATCCTTACAACAATCCTTTGGGGCAGTTGTTGCTACCACCATTTTGTAAGTAAAAACCTGAAGTTCAGAGAGGTTAAAAAACATGCCCAAGATTTCACAGAAAAAAGTACCAGTGCCAGTATCTCAAAGCTTTTTTTTTTTCCCCTTGGCTTCTCCAATGTTTAAAGGTTTTCCAACAATCATACTACGTTAAATGGAGCTGGCCTTATTTACTTTTGTATGCCCAAGAGCTGGCCTAGTGGCTGGCAAGGAACAGGTGTCAAATAAATGAATAAAGAGTGATGGATGGATAGATGGATAGATGGATGGATGGATGGATGGATGGATAAGACAAATAGGTAAGTTGAAATGACCTTTGGTGACCATAAATTAAAGGGTTAGTCTTCTCAGATAACATTCTTACATATTTGTATTCTGGAGACAGCGCTGAAGCAACGGTCCCTACTTAGTTTGTGTCTTCCTTACCAGCTCTAGAAAAGCTGGAGCTTGTTCAGAGGAAAACACCAGGATTGAGAGGCGGTCTTAGTGACTTATCATGAGGAATTGGTATGGGGACTGCCAGAAAAGAGAATATTCTGCGTTCAAATACTTGAAGGCTGGGTAGAGGGTACACAGAAGAGGAAGAAGGCTTGCTCTGTGTTTCTGCAGGCCATTAGAACTAGGATCAATGGCGAAACCATGGTGGGGCTGATTTCTCATCAGCATGTTCTATTCTGTGCATACACTCAACAAGCACTTTCTTGGGCATCTCCTATGAACGAGGCGCAATAGAGACCATTTAAAGAAGAATATGTGGGGTGCCTGGATGGCCCAGTCGGTTGAGCGTCCTTGATTTCGGCTCTTGATTTTGGCTCAGGTCACGATCCCAGGGTTGTGGGACTGAGCCCCACATTAGGCTCTACACTGAGCCTGGAGCCTGCTTTAGATTCTCTCTCTCCCTCTGCCCCTCTCCCCCACTCATGCTCTCTCTTAGAAAAAATTAAAAATTAAAAAGAAGCACATATGTATAAATATTTGTATCCCCCCCCTTTCTTAGATTAAAAAAATGCATTACATCTTTTTCCAACTTAATCTAACACTGGATCTTGGAGA